CGATCCAACGTTAGACGAGGTATAAGTTGTGAATCAGTTTGCGAGGTATAAGGACGACTTGTCCATCCATATTCTCGGTAATGTTTCCACCGTTCCAGATTGCTGGCACTGGTAGTGCTGCATCCAGTTTACTGTCTAAAGTGCTTGTTTAGATACCCTTCCATCATGGATGATGGGTGCGACAACCTTCACCTCGACCAGTAACTCGCTCACTAAGAATCCTTAAACCCACATCTTCTTTATCTCTAATTCTACGCACCTGTCCTTAAACTACATAAGTCTATTATATTACTCCGGATTAATGATCAACAATGCACTGCTAGGGATGTAGCACTTGCGCAGACCATACCATCACATGGGTGTTTGCGCCTTAAACTACTCCACTAAAGTAGGCGGTTGACATTGCACTTAAAATCGTCTCAGTCTATTTTCCATATTCACTTAATGATAACATTATGTATATTTCTTATCAACTGAGAAGCTGCGCAAATATTTCATCGACAACAGCATTACATCACTGATTGGAACTGATGCTTCGCTGCTATACAACCATGAGGACCTGTGAAATAAAGGATAATAAGAGGGAGAGAAGGGGACCTATCTGAAAACCTTAGTGCCCTAAGCAAACATTCAGGATCAAGGCGCCTATACCTTGTGTTAGCAGCATACCGTCACAAATAGCTGGCTATCGTGCACAGATAAGGTGGCATCGGCGGGACAGATTCCTTGAGGTTTTCACCGCCTCGCGCCGTAATCAACCATTACCCTGCAGATAAGTCAGCACCAAACACACTTTAAACAGGTAATCCGATTAGAAAACGACAGCAGACGCGCCACTGGTGTCGGTTGCGAGCCATGTCCTGTAAAGTCTCAAGCCAAGCAGAAAGCGGGTCACATGGACTCCAACCCGGAAGGGCGAGATGGACCAACGGCACCCAGTTTGGTCGTCAGTTACTTCATTTCACGCTGCCAAGTCAACTACTGTCCACCTCGAGCCTTGCGCCACCCTACACCTGGCAGACTAAACAAAGCCCTCCTAGGTAAGCGGTGACCAGGCATACGTAGCACGGGCACGAGCCAACGCAACTTATTCAGTGCTATCTGTTGTTCTAGGGAGCTAGCATGATTATCACTACCTAGTACTCGCCTACACACATCATGGTTACGGACGACCTGGTGCCATCCGACACTAGCAATAATTCGCAGACACCGATGATTGAAGAAATGAAGGCACCTCAGACCTTCAGACGGAAGGGGCCATGTTTCACTACCATAGAGCAGGACGGCCGTCACTGGTCTTGTGTACATGACCTTTCAGACAGAGGGAAACTCCTTCCTGTCGCCAAAGATGCCGCAGGTTCAAGGCGGTTCTGGCTTTTGTAATGCGTGAACTGACTTCAGTTTCTATGTGCCCATCTTTACTGATGCTGCTGCCAAGGTAAGTGAATCGATTAACCTGCTCGAGTTCCTCGTTATCAAGGGTTAAGGAATCATCAAGTAGCTGGTGGTCGTGCAGCAAAACTTTGCGCTTTGAAGGTGCGAAGTGCATACCGAATAATGGGACCACTCTAGGCAGGCTATTCAGGGTTGATTGTAACGCTGCAACATCCTCGAAAGGCGAGACGATATCGTCCGCATAATTAAGATCAGCTAAATTTTCGGGTTTTTTGGAGCACCCGCCTTGTGTCTTGGATTGCGACACGCAATCTCATTAATGGCGGCGGTTGACTTGGAAGTCAGCCTCTGCCAAAACGGTCACTTGGACCGTCACCGAAGTGGAGGGTTTCGGTGTGGCTCTCTCCTATCCCTGCACTCCACGACCGACGGTTTCGTCTTGGTTTAGACTCATCAGGTAGAGATAGCTGAGCTAGGAGTGGAACCCGAGGCATAATGCTTGGCGGCTATCGCCATGATCACTAGGCCATTGAGATCAGCTAATTTTTCACTAGGCAGGACTTCAACGCCTACATCGTGAGATTCCGCAAGGGAACACTCCATGATAGAATCCACGACGAAATTGAACAAAAACGGGGAAATCGGACAACCCTGCCGAACGCCACTTGTAGTCGAAAAGCTATCCGATAGGACACCATAGAGCCTGACGCGGCCTGTAGTGTTCGAGTATAGAGCACGAAGGATGTTCACATATTTCGTGGGAACACCTTACCGCGTAACTATTTCAAACAGAATGCATAGATCTACTGAATCGAGCGCACTCTTAAAATCGATGAGCACAGCTATTGTCGGTCTGCGGTATGCGTGGCGCTGCTCTAGCACTTGCCGCAAAGTGAATATATGGTCTATACAGCCACGTCCTGAGTGCAAACCTGCTTGCTTTTCCCTAATCCGAGATTCCCGTTCCACAGTGAGACGATGAAGAAGAATCGAGGCCAGTACTTTTGTCACAACTGGTGTTAGGCTAATACCCTATGGTTAGAACAGTATGTGCGACTGCCCTTTTTGTATATTGTCACTATAATCGATTCACTCCAGTTACCCGGGACATTCTTCCTTCCAGCTACGTTCGAATAGGAAGGTCAGTGCTTTGCAGAGGACTTCACCTCCATGCTTAAATAGTGCAGGTGGGAGGGAATCCGGGTCAGCGGCACGAAAACGATTGAGGGCGGTGATCGCGTTTCGGACCTCGGCCTCCAACGGAGTCTCTGAACTAACCGTCCATGCATTGCGTTACCTGAGTAGGAAGAGGTCCGGGAACAGGGGTCCAGCTGAACTGATCTTGAAAGTGTTCCACCCAACGAGCCATGCGGCGCTTCTTATTGTGTGTCAGTGCATGCGCGCTGTCTCTGAGTGTCTAAGTATATTTGGCACAGATCATATATATACAGTAATACCATGCCCTTGCATTGACAACATGAAGTTGCGGCGCATAAAATACGTATATTCCTTGACAGCACGAGGCACTCCAACTGTATGGTATGATCAATATGTGCAGCGAAATCTCACGGAACAGATTTCTTATCGATTTTTCCGAACAGTTCTCAAACTATCTTTTGGGGGCAGGGCTAATTGGTCGCGTGAGTCTTTCGGGAAGATTAAGAGATTATCAAAAATAATAAAAGCAGGTAAATCCAAATCTTTAAGTGATGTATTACTGCCATCCATGGAACCGCGTCCTGGGGCCCTGTTTCTATGCGGATGGGTTTTACCCGCACTTAAGTGGGCTCACTTTTATCAGAACTTCTGGAATACTCCCATGTAGTGTGTGGTCACTCAGTCTGCGGCCTTTTACGATTCTTCCGTGGAAGCACCAACTCCTAACAGCATACGGCATTAAGCTGGCCGATTGTAAACATGTGTTTGTCGATATGAAGAGTTGTGCTTTCACCATTCCCTGTGAGGTCTGCTGGACAGACGAATACGAAGTATGGTTTTGTGTAGGTTCGTCTCAGTTAGACACAGGCCGACAGCCACTACACATCCAGGAAAGCGCTAGACGGCCGTTTCGTCTTATTGGCCCTAGTACAGACAGCGATCGATCAGTATGAAACTACAGTTTATCGAAGCTTGATGGCAGAGGGACGACTCATTCTAGGACTGAGTTAGTCACGTCATTTATAAGAGATTGCTCTGCCGTCCTTGTCACTAGGATTGCAGACAGAAGTGCTCTCTCATCATTAATCAGTCTGTAAATCATGGATGTACTTCTGATACAAAGCGTTCAACCGTTGTTCCTTCTGTAGGTGCAGTTATCGTACGGCTGCTTTCGAGTGCGGTGCTAGGCGAATCCGGAAACAGATACCACTGACTATTACTATAGTATACACGTATGAGGAATACATAGCTGTAAGTAAAATGGGAACATTATAGTGTTGCTCATCCCAACACTGGCACCCCAAGACCGCGGTTTCGTGCTGGTTGGGACTCATCAGTTGGAGATAGCCTGAGTTGGGCTGGAACTCAGAGCCTAGTGTCTCATGGTCAACGCCATAAGCATTATGCCACTGAGCTCCGTGAGCAACGCTTGGTCCAGCGGAAACGAATGCAAAGTTGGACTTGGAGTATCCGCTGGTGGTTGGGTTGCTACAAGTAACCTCTATTGGGACCTCGGTTCACTTGAGGTGGACCTCGGTCATTCCGATCGCACCAAAATATTTCCATTTCATCTACGGTCTTTCTGATCGGAATGACCGAGGTCCACCTCAAGCGAAGCGAGGTCCCAATAGAGGTTACTTGTAGCAACCCAACCACCAGCGGATACTCCAAGTCCAACTTTGAATACATTGCTGTGTAGAAGGTTCACCAACCGTCTAGGCCCTAGGGGAATGCTACGACTTCTCACAAGTATTTTTCACCTCATCGTATGAATGAAGTTATTGAGTTCTTCCCCGTTTTCCTTGATTTGTCTGCGCTCTAACGCAGACTACAACCAAATCATTCAGCTCGGAGAAGAATTCAAGATCCTCAAGAGCGGAGTTATTCAAGTTTTTTTGCGGACTCATGGTGTTGCTCGTAGAGCTGAGTTTGATATCAGAACCCAAACACCTTTGTGTCCGTACTCACTGTCGTCTACTTCCACCCATCAGTCATGTACCAAATGCACTTTGTAACAGCTCCGGTCATCAGCCTGAAGCATGCGGTTCTGCGCTATTGCTCGTTTACCGTGGGTTTATGTTACGGGTATTCAAAAATCAAGCTATCGTTCGCGCGGTGCGGTGGCTGCCCTAACGGTCTACCCACCACCATTCCGCAGTTAGTACAACAAGAAGAGATTACTTCTACATGGCTTATCGTATATGTGCATAATCTTCACTATCAGCTTAGCAAGAGGCAATCATGAACTCTTTAACACCTAGATAGCTATCTTCCACAGTCTTCCATGCAACCACATGAACCGAAACCTTTTGCTTTAAACTTCCAGTTAGCCTACATACTCTACGGTGATCTACATAGCATGCCTACTTTCCTACCATCTCGATTACTGCTGGACTTTTGCTCTGCGATTGCTTGTTCAAATTAGAGAAAGGTGTTTTATCTACTGTATGTTACATTACACAGGTTTAGTTCGCGTCTGTGTGTGGGTGAACGGGGACCATGTGAAACCATTCCCTTGCTGCTTGATCCGGGCCTCGGAAAACATTCCTGCCAATCGTGACGTTCCGGTAACGGGTTCAATTTCTGATTTGTTAAGTTCCAGTCCTACTCGACCTGCAATCCACGCACGGAATGCTAAAAGTGAGTCTACTTTCGTTGTTGAGTATCGTGCAGTTCTGATCCTTTCGATTAGCACCACCTGATGTCTTTAGGATTGTTCTTCTCGAGTTATCCCAGTCAGTACTGCTCACTGTCCCACACCGTAACATGCAGCAATCAGAAGTGTGGAAGTCGAATACATCCTGAACGACACATGGAATACTGCAGTGACCTTCAAGTCTTTCCATGAGACGAGTATTATTACCAGAGAGGACGCCTAATCTTCCTAGTTGAATTAACGGGACTAACCGGATTATCACAAACTCTACCAAACGTGGTATAGCCGTCTGCATGAAACCGCTACCGCAGTGAAGCAAAACCCACTGATTAAAGCGGTTAAGCTCAGAACTGCGCTTCGTGACCTCCCATTGGCTCCTTTCAAGCTGTGTAAACAAGTTCTTTACGGTTGGATTTTTCTGTGCATTGAAATTGTTTCGTAAAATTACGATATTCATTTTCTTTTCTGATTCGGAATTTTTTACCATGCACAGTTGTGTTATCTTCGTTTAATTTTGGAGATCGCTTTGCACTTCACAATTGGCCGCCGTCTTCCTCTCGGTTTTTCCATATTGCCAACAAAACCACCTTGCGGTTCCTGTTTCAAAGTTGTCGGAAGTCGGGCGAATGCACTCAGATGTGTTATTTGTCACGCTAAAGTCCACATTTCATGCATTTGACTATCGATTGAGCATTTTCGGCCTTTTCGTGAAATCCAACATGCTTTCGTTCAAATTTCGTGTACATATTTCCAAAACGAGATCCAACCGGAGAAAGTAGTATAGAATCACAATCAACCATGTAAGCTGAATCGTTCCGTTGCGAGCTGCTCCCTGTGTTTGTCCCAACAAACTAGCCAGAAGCGCACCCAGGTCTCAAATAAGCTTTCTTGCTCGGTCCGTGCAAACTCACCGGCACGAAGTCACTCCGTTGCGGACAGCCCAGCTTCACCATCGTCATTATCATCATCGATACTAGTTGATCACAGGGGACACAGGTTTGGAGTTCAGTGCCTATCGCATGATGGTAGCTGATAGGACGACAGACAAATGAGACGGATGGATAACCAGTCGACGCAAACACTGAATGAACCGACGGTGATGAGTTTCGAGTGTGTACAAAGCGCGTCTTTGTTCCGGCTGAGCGACGACTGGTCCAAACGTCAGAACAACTGATGGACGCTACCCAATGAATTCAGGCAAGTGGCCGAAAAAACTGACCATTCAAAATGAGCCCCGGTGACTAGTACTGGACAATATAAAATGCCCATGTGTCCTTTGATAACAGATTTCTTATCGCTGCCCAGACTGTCTTCATGCTTCTCGGAGGGCTATACAATACGACGCATTTGGGCATTCAAAGCACCTGCAACACTCACGATTTCAGTATTCTTCGCCATACGCAGAAGAGATAAAAGATGATAGTAGAAATCTTCTTTTGTACCCTCCGAACTGCAGTCAGTATGAGCGTAACCGGGGGCGATGGAGGCCGAATCTGTGCGGTAGTTCCAAACTTGGTTGAATTTATATTTCACCACCATTCCATTCAGCAAACGATTACACACCGGCAGTAATACCTCACATTTGTGAGCCCAGAGTCAGCCATTTTTAAACACTACATGAGAACTTGATGGACGATTCGATCATAACATGTGGCAGATGCCTTTTATAACATTTTTGATTATATTTCGATAGCGTACGTATTTGATTTTCTACTTGCTCTCATAATACCGTATTCGGTACTTTTCGATCCTTTGCTTCAAATTATTGAGGTACCAAACTTGTCGATTAGTCTGGCCAGGGTATTTTTAGGGTCTCAGCGCATGGCTGAACTCGTGAGCTTTTGAACTATTCTGGATCAATAACTTTCTGTAACAAACGGTGTTCCTATTTAACATACTATACACAGAACCAGAGCGCGCTGTGCGCGGCATACCTTGACACTACATCCTCCGCGTAGCTTTGACAGCGCATCCGTACTGCTTCCACTCAGTTTGCCGTGCACCCATTCAGATAACAAGATGGCTGAAGTAGTCCATTCTGACATCAGCAGGCTCCCTAGGTAGCCAGATGATTGAAGGGGGTAACGACGTTCACTTCGAGCCACCGGATCACTGGAATTCACTTCAACCTTCCTATTAGTCATTAGTCACTCCCCACACGAACTTTATTTGGGCACCCTTACCAGTTACGTATGATTTTATTCAGTCTAGAGATTTTTATGCAAATGTCACAAATGCTTACTTCAGACATTTCTCTTTCCTTTGTAGACCCTGCCAGTGAACAGAAATCTAATACGCTCTCGGCCACTGGCACAGTAACCCCAGCCCCTCCCTATCAGAATTCACCGCATGGACGGTCAATATTCACTGATGCTTCGTACAAATTGCCTAGCGTTGACTATACATGTAACACAGAACTCACAAACCTCAGTCTGGATTCCCGGACCGACGATTTGAAGCTCCCGGACCTTGAAACAGACTCGGCTAGCCACGAGTCATCTATCTCAAGTTCATCCTTGGATGACTTTGGCACAAGAAACAGACCGAAGAAACCTAGACCTGTTTACGACACATTTAACGTTGCGACAACAGGTATCCGCACTATGCTTTCGTTAAAACGTGCTTGGGCAAATCTCTCATACTGGGAGTCCAATCACCATGTCGCAAAAGGCTGGTTCAGTCTGGATGACCCTGTGACCTATATACTTTATGCTGAGGGCATTTCCAAACATTCACCGAAGTCGTCTTCCGGTCGTCCCGGCGATCATTTCAGTTGTGTTCGTCATTGTCGCGATGCCAGTTACATTCGTCTCTTTCCTTTGGTCACGCAGCCAAGCCCAAGACCTCATATCAGGACAATCTGTTCTACGAAACTACCGGGGTTTAACGATAGTAACTTCACTCATACAGCACAAAAGAGATACTCGTTCTTCTTCCCAACCGATTCTCGCACCCCAGCGAGATCTTCTACAAGCTGGCGACAGTGCTACCGTCTAGGCGGAAGCGGCCTTGTTCTCTCTTTGACCCCCCACGGTCGCATATGGCTGGATAACCAAGCGATCGCGAACAATTTGACCGTTTTCGTTTCCTCACCCTGTCTCTCACGTGGTTCCAAATCCACGAATGCTATGTGTTGGCCTGTTCGTCGTGTACCCTCAGGTTTCTCCATTGTGATATTCGATTTGCTGGCGTACCAACGTCGTTTGCCTGAGTCTTTCCGAACTGATACTCCTTCTTTGGCGAAGGCTAGCAGAAGTGACACACAGGCTAATCTCATTTCTTCTCTGGTTCATCATCCTTTGGTTCATATTAGTTTAGGAAAAGGATGGGGGCCGGGTTATCGCCGCCCAGACATTACACACTGTCCAGCCCGCTTGGAACTATGGATAAACACAGATTCTTTACTTGGGCTGATCGACAAATGACTCACACGGTCAGTAACTCAGCTTCAATGGGTGTTCATCTTCTGAGTGAATTTCCTCCTCCTCCTTCTGACACTTCATGTGCATTCTTCCCGGCTACTTTTTAGTCTCAGTCATTACTTTTACTTATTCAGTTCCTCACTTCCGGTTCCCAATACTCGTCTGTGATAGTTGCATTTGCATGGCTAAAATACTGCGCTGTACAACCAGACAGCTGATCACCTACGCTGCAGTACACTCGATCGTGTACAGTTACTGTACCACTCTGTTTCGGTGGGCTCTTTCAGATTCGTATCTACCTCCTATTTTGACATACTTCGTATTTCTACGTTTCAATGAATCGTTCACACTTCTTCAGGATTTCTCTTGCGATATCTGCGTCTTCCATATGCCTGACACAAACTCACGTTTGCAGTGAGCACGTATGTCATGTTACACTGTAATTGTTTGCGCCTTATGCAGGCCTCTAGGTTTACTGTCGAGCATTTTTCAGTGTCCTGAACCAGTTATGGTTTTGACTTACCGCAATGACTAACCCACAGGGTTTTTATGAGTGCTGGTACGCCATCAGCATCTTGTTGATCCAACACATCGGTGAGTCGTAGGGTTTGCTACTGTTACGAGACACATCTGAACACCTTTTAGTCTTCACTTGAGCCATTGCGCAAGGTGAGAAACGATTTGTGAGAATTGTCTAAACAGATCACTAAGCTTGAAATTAGCTTGCATACCCGTTTTAGTACCAAACGTCCAAGATAAATGTTGTCTATACCAAAATCTTTAATTAAAGCAGAAAGAGCTTGCTCGTTAGTGATCAGTCATCCGAAAATGAGTTTTCGTAACACAAAACTTTGTCCTGGAGAGCGCGGTGCAGGGGAACATTAACTATATGGCGATACGAAATCTCTCGACACACTTACTCGAACACACAACCTTTGATCCATGGCCGACATTGTCCGCTGGAGTTTACCGATCCGCAGGCGCAGTCTTTCATCAGCTCTGCATTTCTCCTAATCACCTGCCGCCAAGCATCGCGAATTGTCTAATTGCTCGCCTTTGGGGTGCGTCACAAAACATTCCGCCATCACGTCGCTGAGTTTAGCTCTGACAAACTTAACTGCAGTATTACTGGTAAGTAACAGGATTTTAGTTGTAATTTCGTTAAGGATTCCATCCCATTAATTCGCAAGCTATCTAGCACAGCTTAGTCCGGAAAAGCTCCAGACGTGTTTCGCCCTATTGGGGCTCGTCAGTGGTGCGCATTCCCTCGGTACACTAAGGAGGACCGAACCCATGACCGCTAGAGGCAGATGCCAACTAGCCAGCAGCTTAAGCCACTGAGCCATGGGGGTCATTGGCTGCGCTGCATAATAAATAACCTCTCCTAGTTTCCAAATGCCATGGATATAGCGTCTAGTGAGAGGACGTCATCACCTCGCAGGCTAACCACTGTCAGTGACAGGGGAAGATAGGTGGTGCTATATCCCAATTAGTTTGCAAATTATCTAGCGCAGCCAAGGTCCCCCATGGCTTGGTGGCTTAAGCTGCTGTCTAGTTGGCTTCTGCCTCTAGCGGTCATGGGTTCAATCCTCCTTAGAGGAACGAGGGAATGCACACCACTGACGAGCCCCAATAGGGCGAAACTAGTCTGGTGCTTTTCCGGACTAAGCTGTGCTAGATAGCTTTTGAACTAATAGGATGAAGTCCTTAACATAAGTAACCGAAATATCTCGAATTTTCTTGTACCAATTATTGCTTACGCAACACAAGTCAAAGTATATTTCCATTTTTGATTAGAATGACAATGCACATGTACACGAATCTATGTCGTCACTTGTTTAGGCGAACTCAATGTACAAAATAGATCCAATAACTTCCAGCTATTCAAGGACAGACAGGTATTTGACGTCCTGCTTAGCTTCGTCGTAAATAAATAAATAGTTTTTTCTCGATGGCATCGAGGCACGCCTTATCAGGCATGATCAAATTTTACAGACAATGTTTCGCACTAGGCACATTGTGTTGCATGCATAATTGGGGGAAGTACATGTGAGGAAAACATCAAATGTGAATCGCCAATTGTTTTCGTCCATGTGAATGTCGCGTAGTATGGAAATTTATAGGCTGTGACTATTATGGTCGGCAATTGTATAAAATATGGCATTTTAAGCAGTAACATACTGGATCGGTGTGTCTTTATATATGTACTTGTATTGTGAAGTGTGACTGAATTCGTGAATTTGTTTACTGACTTCGCCATCGTATGAAGGGATCAATGGAACTCTTCGAATTGGGTGACATTTGTGAAGTGAGGATCCTCTGAAAGGGTAACAGGCAGTGACTTTATTTAGTGGCGAGTCACATTCGCCACCTCGCCGTGTTGTCAAACAGACCTTTGTGGCTTTTTATAGGGAGAACGCTTGCCAGGCGAAAACCCACCACGTCCTGGAACACTGCCGCCGAACTATTTGCTGGAACGGGATTAACCCGAACCACCCAGCTGGCACCAAGTGGAGGTTGTTCGGCTAGCTAGCCACGTAGTAACGTTTCTTGTATCATGCATCTATAAGTAGAGATTCATCACATCTAGACCCAGTCAGACAGCTGGCGCTGTCCCAGCGAAGCACTTTACGTCTGTTCCTTCCTTTGGGGAATCGTCAGCAGTGCGCATTGCCTCTGACCCCTGTGGAGCTCGAACCCACAAATAGACTGTTGCCAATCGGTGGTTGAGACCACTGGGCTACGGGGGACGGTAACGACCGCTGTGTCTAAGTTACTGGATATAGCGCCACTCATTGTCCACAGAACTACACGTTACTATCGTGCAGAGAACAAGCTAGCCTCCTCACCAAGCTACGAACTTATCAAACTTAAGCCGCCAATGACAAATTGAGATTTCAAGCCTATCACAACTGGACTCTAACCGCAAGTACGTATTTCAACTCGTAGCGAATAAGTAAGAAGACGCTTCAGTCTGGCACACAGTGTATTGAACACTTAACGGTTTACATGTAAGCACGGAACGTTAGGGTGTGTCCTTGAGTGCGTGTGTGCGTGCTTATCTACGTGTGTGTGTAGGGCCAATGAGGTTCACGGTCACAGTGAGCGATCATTGGTTGAACACGTAACAGTCCTCCCTGTTTTGGCTGACGTTACAGTCATGGCTGAAAACGTTCGATCGGTTTGCGAATCCGGGTCGATCGGCGTAATTGAGTTTCCCCTGTTGTTCTGTGTTCGTCGTGCTCTGCAGCTTGCTCTGCGATCTCCGAGTGTGACTGACTCACGGCAGGTGTGTCAGTGCTCCTGGGGCGTACATGATCTGAGTGCCGGCGAACAAACCAACCGTCCGGAAGCTGCAAATCGTTTTGACTTCCTGAAGAATCGAGCACAGTCGCCGGCTGCCAACATTGTTAATGCGGTAACCTGGTGTAAACAGGTTGATGGTCCTGAAATGTAACTTCCGGCTTTGATTCCTCTGAAGACACAAACTTTTTCTGACGCTCCTGTACTTCAACACGCGGGTTCGGGAACAACAAATGAAGCCTCGTTCTCAGATTTCTGCCGAACATCAATTCCGCCGGGGATTTCCCGGTAGCCTCAGTGAGTGTAGAACGGTAGGAGAATAGGAACCGATCCAGTTTTGTTCGCAATGTTCCCGTTCGCTGCTTTAGTAAGCCTTGTTTCACAGTTTGTACTGCACGCTCCGCTAATCCGTTTGATGCTGGGTGATACGGGGCTGATTTAACGTGTTGGATTCCGTTGTTGGCGACAAATTTACCAAATTCGGCACTGGTAAAAGGCGAACCATTGTCTGTACAAATGGTTTCCGGAATGCCAAACGTAGCGAAGGACGAGCGCATTTTAGTGATGGTGGATTCGGCTGTCGCCTGAGTAACTGGATGTACGTCAATCCACTTAGAATGTGCAGCAATAAGTAGAAGAAACATGGTCCCGTCGATCGGTCCGAAGTAGTCGGCGTGGATACGCTGCCACGGCTTGTCGGACCAACGCCAAGGGTGTATTGGACCTGGCTCCTTGCTCCGCTGATACGCCTGACAAATATCGCAATTCTTCAGTAAGTTCTCTATGTCTGAGTCGATGTTGGGCCACCAGCAGTACCCTCTCGCTAGTACCTTCATCCTCGCCACACCTGGATGAGCATCATGGAGCTCTTTAAGTATCTGTGAACGTGCCTTGGTGGGAGGGACTAGACGAGAGCCCCAAAAAACACAGCCGTCGAATAGACTCAGTTCGTTCTTCCGAATCATAAACGGTTGTAATTCAACTGTCCCTTCAGGAGGCCAACCCATGTTCAAAAAGCGTTTCACCATTGATAGCACGGGGTCTCGATCCGTCCATTGACGGATTGTTGAACTCCGTATCGGTGTAGTGTCTAGATGTTGCATTAGATTAACCAGTTCAAACGGAGGGTCGTGTTCATGTGCAGTTTCCGTGATCGGCAGACGGCTGAGTGCATCAGCTGTGCAGTTGCTGACGCCGGTAATATAAACAATCTTGTAACTGTAAGCACTCAAGGTTATAGCCCATCTTTGCATCCTCGGTGCTGCCATTTGTTGTATACCTTTGGTTTCCTCAAACAAGGATATCAATGGTTTGTGGTCTGTATGAAGCTCGAAAACGTTTCCCCATAAATACTGGTGAAACCTCTTAACTCCGAAGATAACGGCTAGCGCTTCCCTGTCCAGTTGTGAGTAGTTCTTCTCCGCCGTCTATGCCACGAGTCCAGGGAAAATTTGTCGGTAGAGCACGACCAGAAGACCGGTGGAGTATCTGTCATGGACATGTTGACCTCCGTCGCCCAGATATCACAACTGGACTCTAACCGCAAGTACGTATTTCAACTCGTTGCGAATAAGTAAGAAGACGCTTCAGTCTGGCACACAGTGTACTGAACACTTAACGGTTTACATGTAAGCACGGAACGTTAGGGTGTGTCCTTGAGTGCGTGTGTGCGTGCTTATCTACATGTGTTTTGCATTCTTGATGCTTCTTCACCGCAGTTGGGCTAAACCAACTTACACTTAAACTAGGTCTTTTTAAGCTGGATAAATTTCATTCCGCTTTATTTGGTTTGTTCTGCCTCCCTGAATAATGTTCTATTAAGTGGCCACGTTGCTTACACTAAATGCGCTTATCTTCTGTAATTTTGTTGCGTTTGTAGCATTTTAAGTAACTTGTGGACATTTCTTACTTATCACGGATTTGTTGCTAACCAAATTACTTCATATGGTAATTTAGCGAAGAGTTATGCCACCGTATCTGTATGCATTATTGGATTTATTTTATTTCAGCTTGTCGTTTAAAGTGAATGGCTGTTTTTTGATATCCCTGGTATGGTTGCGCTTGATGTGTATGTTGACAAGGTGCCTACCTGTCTATTAC